AATTTATTGAGGCATCCGCCGGTCCGTTCTCCCAGCTGTTGCTTGTACACTCGCGATGCATAGGAAGCACGGATCCTCCACTCCAACACCAACTTTCGCACTACACTTAAGATGCCACTTTGCAAGCAGCTGTTGAAGGGTTTTCGTACTTATGTGGTGTGATATCCGCAGTTATGGAGACGTATGCAGTGTTTGCTGGGCCTGTATTAGTCTACAGGTCAGATGCTTTTTCCGCTTTTCAATCCTGTGCCTTTACATTGCAAAAGCATGTTATACGTGTTCTGCTGCAAATAGAGAAGTGCCGGTACCACTAGTTTGCATCTATGTGCGGTCGCAATGAGACGAACCAACTGGCAACTTACATTGCTGCCTTCTTTTTCTCGTGGGTCATTTTGATGCTCCGACTCGGAGGCCTGAGGTCTGACGCTGGACGGGTCCCTTCTCTGTTCATGTATAGCTAACGTACAGGCTTGCCTGCCATGGGCTAAGTTCGCGTACTTACTTCTAATTGCGTGCAGGCTGCCTACTAAGTGCCTAGTAGTTGCTCAGCGATTCTCTCCAGTGTTAGTGCACACGGCAGAGCACGGGATACTGGGTATTGTCTGTTTGTATATTCACCTTGCAGGGCGTTTTTCTGCGTCGAAGCCCGCCAGCGGGTTGCTACCACTATTGCTGTACGATCTGGTATAGTTGTACCACTAAAACTCTCTCGAGCGGGTTATCTGTGATGGTAATGTAACACCTCCACGACATACGAATGCTGAAGTCATCACAGAGGGAAAAGCAACTAATATGTTGAGGATTGATTTTGGTGGAGTTGAGAGGATGTTTAAAAAAAATAGGCGCCAAGTACTGCAGCAGCCAGGAGAAGGAGTGTAGGCGCTGCCGCTGAGCCATTGCTGGTGTTGACGGCAGCAGTGATCCGATCCCATTGGGCTTGCCTGCGACGAACACAGAGCCCCAATCAGCTCGCACCCATTGCGTAGGAGGGACGATAAAAAGGTGAAATATATTTCCGCATACACTAAACTGAAGCAGCCGCAAAATGCGCACTCAGACAAACAGCTCACTCGTATGGGGCCTTGTTTGCCTCCAAGGCGCTCGGCGTTGTGATGCAAAGAATTGCCTTCAGGTCCTTGTCCGTTGTAGCCTCAGGCTCAGGGTCCTCCGATGGAGGCTCATCATCATTTCGATTTTTAGGTTCATCGGCGTCTTCTTCTGCTGCTGGGCAGATGAAGTAAGCGCAGTCCACCTTGGCATTCTCTTTGGGGTTGAAGAGGGAAATAAATGAAACATTTTGGATTTTGTTATACGGTGCTGTGTTTTCGGTATAGGCTGGAGGAACGCCATTGAAATTAGT